CTCTTGGCTTCCCCCACTGATATTCCTCCTGGCAGCATGTGGTTAAAAACTTTCTAATGGGCCCAAGGGCTGCTTCCTCTTAACCCCTTCCCTTTCCCATGCATCCTGCGGGGGGAAAAGCGCTAAGAACTTGAAAGTGAAGTGATCCTAGTCTGACTCTGTGGAGTCGGCCTCTGTCTCAGATGGGGCACATCAAAAGTGAGAAGCCAACTGGGTTCTCTGCTCAGACTGCTAACAGCTAGAGCTGGTCTGAGCATTTCCCATGAGATGGGTTTTTGGTTTTTTTCCTGGAAAAAGTCAGTTCATCAAAAATGAACCTTTCCACGGAAAAAACACCACCTGCTTTTTTTTTTTTTTTTCCTTTTACGGGAGAGGTTTCTGGGGTCCAGGCTGCATTTTCTGCTCAAAATGAGAAGGAAGAGTTAATATCCTAGCGGTTGGAGCACCCAGCTGGGATGTGTTTCAAGACTGAGTAAGACCGGGGACTCTGTCTTGGAGGGAGACTGCCTGATTCACACCAGTCGAGTGTCTGTCTCTAGTTTTTCCTGGAAAAGTTTGGAAAGGTCTTGGTTTTCGGGTTTCAAAAACTTTCCCAGGCCACATCAGGGCAGGCACCTCACGGGGTGGAAAACCTGCTTCCTTCCCAGCTCTCGGTACATGGCGGCGTGTTCTTTTAAAGTAACGAAGTTCCTTTCCTTTCGCGTGATCGCAGCTGCCCTCCTCAGCCACTTGATCTGGAGGTAAATCCCAAACAGGAAACGGCTCTAAATAAATACGAACCCCCTTTTGTTTCGAAGGCCGCTGTCTTGGGTGGCAGTTGTGTTTTATCTGCTCCGCGCTGCGTGTTGTGGTCTGTTTTGTTTTCTCTCCGTAGTAACGTGCCAGTTGCTTGGAGTCATTGCCGAGAGCAAGAACAGCCCTTAAAGTTCTCTCCAAATCAGATGGATGGGAGCTGCCTAGAACAACTTGTTCCTGTTTAATTTTGCAGTTGCCTCTGCTAATGGCTTAATGATCACCTTTGAGCTTGCTGGCCATAAAAGCTCAGTAGCAGCCTCTCTTGGGGATTCTCTCTCCAGACCGAGATGATTTAGTGCAGAGGGAGGGGGATAAAACCCTGCTCTGGGAACAGCTTCCAACTCTTTTAAGGACCCGTGCCAGCTTACCGTGCTTGGAGCCGGATTCCCCGATGGAGCCCGTCGGAGCTGTGCATCAACGCAGCTGAAAGCAGAATTTGGCCCAAAGACAACAGCTTGCATCAACCGGCCACCTCCTGGCCCCTTCCTTTCGTTCGCACAACAGGCTGCTGTGGATTGGAACGTGCACCAGAGACGACGTCCTGGCCAGCCAGGACCTTTGACTTGAGGAGACGCGGGAACTGGCGGTCTTGTGGCTCTGAGGGGCTGGCTATGCAAGCTCTGCATGGCTTGGGAGCATGCCCCAAACCAGGATGCTTTGCAGACACCCCGGCTGCTCTCAACCAGGCGGTGGGGGCATCCCCAGAGCATGCTCGCTGCTGCCTCTCTGGTTTTGGTGTGTGCAGAACTAGGGGAGGACCTTGCTTTTTTGAAGGCAGTCTCAAGCGGGGTGAAGCCAGGCGAGGCTTGCCTCGTGAGCCCTGCTAGTGTAGGACCAAGGTGCTCAGATGCTTTCACACCTTGCATCCCTGCAGTGGAGAAACGCCTTATTCCCATTTTGTAAATGGGGAAACTGAGGGTGGAGTGAGTTGTCCAAGCTCACTGCAAGGTATTGAGCCCATTTTAGCACATGCTTCCTTCACAGTTCAGTGCTTGTCACAAAAGCCCAACCGGTAGCAAGTAATGTCCCAGAGCTTGGGAACCACCTGACTGTGGCTCTGCAGAGTCCAGGGAGACTGCTTGCTCTCAGGACCTGTAAGCGCTATCTAGGAAAAGAAAATGGAGCTGTGATACCAGGTCTCGGAAGCGGTGTCCTGTGTTCCCCATTGCAGCGGGGACTGATGAGCTGTGACCTGCTCGTGGTTTGTTGGGCTCCATTAAATTCAGGAGTAAGAAGTCACCTAGTAGATGCATTCAGGGCTTGATTTGGGAAACTCTGAGCACTGACTGGGACTGGCAGAGGCTCAGCACCTCTGGAAGTGGGCAGCCATGTTAGTAGTGTACGTGGAACTCCCTCTTAACTGTGCAGTGGCCTTGAAGGGCTTGGCCTCAATTTGTGCCTGTTCCCACTGGGAACTAAACTCCCCAGGGGGAGCGTGCGAGGCAGAGTGCTACTGGTGCAAAATCCCCCAGCCCGGACAAAGCCTTGGGCTCCGTTTCATTCGGTCAGGTACTTAAACCTGCCTCCCCAGCTCAGACTTGCAACCCAAGAAACCAGGAAAAGGGAGGGGCGTGGGACTGCTGTATGCTTCTATATATACTATATAACAAATGCACGTATCCTCCTCTGCGTTGTTTTTCTTGCCTTGTTCCTGTCACTGGGCCACACAATCTCTGATTTGCATTGAATCGAACTCCCCTGTGCTCAGCAGGCCCAGTCCAGAGGTAACACGTGCGGGAGTGTCTGCAGGTTAAATATTTTCATTGTGTTTACTGTGGAATGGCCTAGGGACCAGTGAAGATCGGGGCCCTGCAGCGTATCGGGTACAGTGTAGTGCAGATCTTGCCCTGGGAGCTCGCAGTCTGAATAGACAAGACAGACTGAGAGGGAGTGGGAAAAGGATAAAACGGGCGAGCAGCAGCTTTGCATGTGTTGCTCCAGTGCTGCGGTTGTCTCTTGCCTGGTTGAGGTCTGTGTGGGAGGGGGTTGGTGGGTGGCTGGCTGGGAGCCCAGGGACAGCGGCTGGTCTAGAAGGAACCGGCTCGGTGTAATGCAGGTATTTGGGGTGGGAGAGAGGGGGCAGGATGGAGAGTAAACACAGCAACCTCCCGTGAGCGCAGCTCTTCCCAGCTTCACTGTTGGCCAGGGCGAGGAGCGTGAGGCCCAAGTGGCATGGCAAAAGACCCCGACGAAACAACGCATCTTGTTTTTCTTGAGAGAGCAGGGGCCGTGCCAGAACGAGCAGCACCCACCTGGGAGCATCTTGCAGGTGTAACATGCTAGTACAATGATGCCAACCCCTCCTCTTCCTCCATCAGTCTGGTTTTGCCCTCAATTCAGGTGACTTGAGCAAAACTCTCTGTGACTTGGCTGTTTTAGACACTGAAACTGTGATGTGTGACACTTGCCTTGGTAGCAGACTTGGGCATTGCGCTGACTTCGCCCATCACGGGCAGCCATTACCCTTCCATCTCTTATCCAGAGGGCGAGACGATTGCTTTGGCATGTCCACGTAGAAGAGGACCTCGCACCCACCGGGGAGTCCAGGATTCACCTTCTCGGCTGGCAAAGGGGGAGCTGCACCCCTGAGCTGGGAGGGCCCCAAAAACAGCACCGTGCCTTGTGTTTCGGCCAGCTTTGCAGAACTAGCAGCGGAGCATGGGTGACTGACCTCTGGACTCGCAAGGCCCTGGCACAGCCCGTGGGTGCGAGGATCAGGCATGTGAGAGGGAGGATTAAACCATATCTTCTGAACAGCAGGTATCTGTATCTTCCAACCCTATTAGACTTCTAGGAAGGTCCTAGGTCCATCCTTACTCTGTCTTCTCTGCCTTGTCTGTCTTTTATTACAGCATGATCCTCTTAAAACAAGTTGCACCCCTTGCTCTCCCCAGAAGAGCGGGTCTTTTGGAAGCCCGGTGACTCACCTTCGTTCCCTAGCTGCAAGATTGGGGTAGTATTGGTTCACTGGGGTCTGGGTCTATCCGCTCCTCTTGGCTCTCCTTCGGGCAGAGTTCAGCAGCCATTTTCTGCTCGGGCGTAGACTCCTGTGGAAGAGAAACACCTTGTGCTCCCTCGTGGGAAGTGCACTATAGCTTATTTTTCCTGCCGGGGTGTTCCCCCTGGGAAATGAGTCATGCTGAGGGATGGTGTGGGGACACAGCTTGTGTCTGGAGGAGAAAACCCCGATGCAGAGAAATATGGCAGTGCTTCTGGGAGGAGTGCCGCACAAATTAGCACGCTGGCAACTCATTGACACAAGATGGTAGCACAAGAAAAGCTGAGCTGACAAGGCTAAGCCTGTTGCCCACGGTGTTTTCATACTGATCACACTGGCTTCAGAAAGCCCTAGAGTCTCTTTAATCTGATCGCTAGCCGGCGAGTGGCAGTTCGGCACAGATCTGCTATCTGTCCCTCAGCTCTGGTGCGCCGGCTCCCTCCTCGGCCCTGCCTCGCCTCCTTTCTCAAACAGTGTAGTTCTCAACTTACAAAATGCTCGACCACGGTGTGGGGAGATCAGCGAGCAAGGACGTTGCTAGAGTCTGGGTTCTTCTGCAGGGGAGGCAGATGACGATGAAATCCAGGACCCCCTGGGATGGAGATTTGGCTGCCTGGAACAGATTGCAGGGCCAGATCCAGGGGCAGAATTCAATGACGGTTTGAACAGTTGCAGGGAAAAGCTGCCTTGGAGATTGTCTCTGCCTATTTGCTCCAGTGATGCCTGTTAGATCAGGCGGCCTGGTCTGTTTTCCTCTCTCCTGCAGTCCCAGCTTGGGCAAGTAGATGCTTCTCCTTCCTCTGTTTTGGGTGGCTCCTTTTAGCTCTGTTTCAAAGCAGGATCCCTTTTCCTCTGGTCTCTCACCTGGAGCCAGGGTGTTGTGCCTGCTCAGAGCTAAACCATGGGCTGCAGCCTCGCTCAGCGTAGCATGCTTTTTAGCCTTGCCTTGGCTGGGGGGTGGCAAGTGAGTCCTCACCACAACTTAGCTAGAACAGGGTGTGATGTCTTGGAGAACATCTGCTTGTCTGCATCGGCGCTGTCAGCTCTGAGCTTGTTCAGTGCGTGATGCTGAACGCCTCGGGTGGGGTGGGGGGTGCGGACACAGCCCAAGAGCATGTGATTCACCCGTCTCCAGACCTGGGACACTGAACAGTGGCTTAACCTTTGTGGCCCCCATCCAGGTGGGATGATGGGGTGGCCACATCCTACTGAAATGCTGCTTCCTGCAAACTCTCTACAGAGAGTTGCGCCTAATGCGTGGGAAATCCCTGAACAGAACAAAGCAGCAAGGTGTTTAACCCTGGGTCAGACCACCCCCCTCCCCGAGAGCTAGGGGAATTCACAGGCACAGAAAGCTGGGGCAGAAGAGGTGAAACAGGGGCATGCTGCTTAGCAGAAGGGTTGGTTTAATTGGGGGGACCAGCTGAGAGAAGGGAACTCCCTACACAGGAGAGAGACGCTATAATTTGGAAGAAAAGCCATGTGATGGAAGGATGACCTTGGACTCCTTAAGGAACTCGGGCCAAAGCCTGAAGACTGTTCGTGCTGCTCTGTAGTAACAGCCTGTGCACCTGCTCTTACCCAGAACAAGTGGAAGCTAAAACTGTGTTCAATTTACCCCTTGGCGAGAGGCAAGGTCCCTGTCTCAGGCAGCCACAGGCATGTACATATTAAATAGTTTGACCAGACCTCTCTATTTCTTGTGCTACCTAAAGTAAGGAGGGGTTGGTGTTTGGAAGCCCTCGGAGCCTGTGCCCATGTGCAGCGGACGCAGACTATGCAGATCGCTGAGAGGCAAATTGCTAGTCTAAACTGCCCATGAAGTTGGAGCTGTGCATGAGCTACTGAAGCATCAGCACGGGTCCAGGGAGCCCAGGGCAGATGGGGACTGAGGGCTTATGTCTGTGATAACGTCAGAAATGAGGAATCTGTGTCCTGGAAGTCGACCAGAGTGGTCAAGGAACGAATTGTGACTGCGACCTTCTCGGACCAAGGGATGCTTGAGAGTGCATGAATCCAGTGTGGTGGGACTCGAACCCAGCAGCTGGGGTGAGTCCGGTCTGAGGGAAGCTCCAAAAGGGTTGTGATGTGCAAGACAAAGCAGCGTGCAGGTTTACCTGCCTGTTCTGAAATCGCACCTGGGTGGATCTGCCTTGCGAGGAGACGTGCTTCAGATGAAAGAACCGGGATCCCCTTGCAGGGGGCTTGCCTTGGCCTCTTCCCAGTTTGCTTCTGCCCTGAAACGTGATGGTTAATAGCCCTCCTGTTATCCTCCCTAGAGTAAAGCAGCTGCGTCACCTCTCTCTGCCCGCAATGATTGGGTAAATTCAAATAGATTGCCTTTTTGCTATATGCAAATCTCTAGCTCCTCATAACTGGCTAGTGCATGTGTGCACTTGGGGAATTTGCATGATCAGCTTCACTGACCCAAGCCTGGGAAGTCCGGGGTCTTGCCCTTAGACACACAATTCCTGCCGGTGCGAGCACAGGTTACGTGCTAATGGGAACGCAGCATTAGCCCTGGGGACCGTTCTTAGTAACGACTGCAGCAGACAGCCTGGCAGGGCCTCTGTTTCGCAACCACCCCAGGAAGGATGAGACCCAAGGCCACGCTCGCACTAGAAAGTCTTAGCAGTGAAACTTTTAAATGAGGACTACTACTTTCCTGCTCAGGTGCTCCTCTTGCTCTTCACCCTGATGGGTTTCAGGCCGTTCCATTTCTCCCAGGAACATCTTTGCAGCAGGGCAGGGACAGATCTAGTGGCACCGAAATTTGTCACTCCATCATGCCTGTTGTTTCTTCGAGTCCTGGACCGTGAAGAGCTGGAATCCCAAGGGACAGTGGAATTGGGCAGTTCTGGGAGACTACGGGAAATGTCACTTCTTGCACGGGGGTGGTGCCGGTGCTCGGGCAGGCTGGCCTGGGGAATTTCGGAGCTCTTGGGCGCGCAAAGCAATGACGAGTCCAGAAAGAACCAGACTCTTGGGCCAGACTGGGGACCTGGGAGGAGAAAAGGGGCCGGGTTTAGAGGTGGTTTCATATGTTGGGTCTGTCCCAAAGGGCTGAGTCTGGGTAGCAGGAGCTCAGGGAGCCAGCAGGCACATCCAAAGCTGGGAGAACTGTGGGTCCTAGTTTACTGTCACAGCCCAGGCTGGGAAGGGTTAACGCCTCTGCTGCGCCTGTACAACTGCAGCACTCTCCTCCTTTGTTCGTTTTCTCGCTCCCTCCAGCCTCCCCCCGCTGTCTTTGTGTGCATTTCTCTCTCTTCACAGGTCCCTAATTCCTTCTAGACCTTCCTTCATGGCTTCTGCTCCCTGTGCCCACGTCGCCTGCTGCTCGGGGCACGGCTGCAAGGAGCAGCCCGTTTATTTTGCCCCCTCGGGCTGTGCACGCTCCTGTGGCTGAGTGGAGGCGGGGGCAGCGGGCTGCTGCTGAGGCCTGCAGCCCCCCCAGGTGCTTCTGTGACTCGCTGGGGTAGGAGCTGTCATGGGCTCAGGGACAGCAGAGGTGGGAAACTTCCCAGCACAGGCTCAACAGAGAGATGGCAGGTGTCTGGGGCCATGCATTTCCACCCATCCCAGAGCTCCTCTCTTGGCGTTCCCTCCTTAAGCCCCGCAGGGTGGCCCTGCCTCCTGGGTGGGAAACCATGGAGCATGCAGTCAGGTTGTCATAGCCAGCCTTGGGGGCCTGCCCTGCACAGCTCCCTGGGGAGGCGCTTAGTGACAACGCAGAGTGAGTTCACGGGGGAAGGAAGGACTACGCTGAGCTGCTAGCTATCCGCGTGGGGCTCTGCAGCCCATGGGGACAGGCTGCCCTCCCCTCCCCGGGGGAGCCTGGCACGCAGAACAAACACATTCAGGTTGGGCATCAGGTTAAAAATCTTGGCTCCGCAAGCCTGGGGGGCTTAGGAGACCTTTTAAATATAGCTCTTCCTCTCCAGCCACGCCACCCCCAAAGCAGCTCCAGTTCTCTGTCCGTAGGGACAGACCTCGGGCTCTGCACACTCTGCTACTTGATAGCAGGGATAGGGTGGCAGCCTGCCCTCCCTGATGGACTTCAGTAGGCCCCTTCGCCCTGGGAGCATGTGGTCCACCTTGGACTCTGCTCCCTAGTTTGCAAGCAGCTGAGCTCTGCCGCAGCAAAGACAAAAACAGCTGAGTATATCTCATGCTCTCTGGCCTTGCCTTCGCTCCTCGGCACCCCTTCACCATTCCTGGCACCGGGAGGCTCCTCATGGGCTGCAGGACTTCATGACACTCCCATGTGTTTTCTCACCGATTTATGAAACGTGCCTGTGAGGCCGCTGTTCTGGCTGGATTTGCTCGGGGGAGAGCAAGCCGTATGCAGCCATGGAGCACCCCGATGCCGTGGCGCTATGCTGGTGTTTCTCTGCAGGCTCCAATGGAGCCGGCCAAGACCCTCTTCCCCCTGCTTCAGCATCCTCGGTAGGAGGGAGGCCTTCTGGAGTGGAAGATGGGCCTAGTGGCTCCTGGCCTAGATATCGGCTCTGTTCCCTATTCCACCGAAAGCTTCCTGTATGACTGGACCAGTCACTTAGCTGCTCTGATCCTTGGTTCCCCTTCTGGAAATCGGGGATGACAGCACCTGCCTGCCAGGGGAGCTCTCCAAGGCTAAATCCATACAAGCTTGCAAGGCACACGGATAGGATGGGGCTAGGGTCATCTAAAGCCTTTGGCTTCCCAGAGCAGGATTACAAGGACCGTGGTGAGATGTGGGACAGCATGCTCCATTCTGGGTAGAAAATAGCTTGCAGCTTCTTATACCTGCCTGTCGCCGCTAATCTCCGAGCGCGCCTCCCTTCTGGGCCGTTGGCTTGGGGATGGTACCAGCGCTGCCTCTGCTTGGCTTATGCAAGCTTGCAAAAAGGGATCATGGGTCTGGAAGGGGAGGCTCCCAGGTGGAGAGGGGACAGACCTCCTCGCCCTTCCCTGGATGGGGTTGTCCCAGCCCAGAGGAGACTGGGAACCACCGTGGGAATCTCCTGTTGCACGCAGGTGTTCTGGCTGCTGGGGCTGGTTTCCTGCCAGCCTTCTGCGTCTAGCCGGCTCTTCTTCCTCCTCTGTTCTGGGGTCAGGGTTCCTCGTCTGATCTATTCCCAGTGCGTCGTAGCGCCTGAACGCGCAAAAGGGTTAAGTGACGCCACGGCCTGGCAGGGGAAACCCGTGTGAGAGTCATCTGTTTTCCAGCGCTCTGGCCCTGCTGACCCCAGACATTCCCTGGAACTCGGCAGCCCTGCGCTCCATCCCCCATCCTGGCGCTGCCTGGCACAGCACAGAAAACAATAGGAGGCTTCCTAGTATTGACATGCCCCGAGCAGCCCAGCGAACCATCTGGCGAAAGGGCTGGGAAGCTCACTGCTAGCTCCTTGGCCCGCCTGGGAAATGCTCTGGCCCCCAAGGCTGATGGAGGCCGACAGGGTGCAGGGGCTTGCGGGGTGGGGAGCATGGGGGGGAGCAGCAGTTGAGGATGTCGAATGCTTTTCAGTGTCTGCCCCCGCTTTTGTTTTACGTGGCAGACCCTAAACTCTCCATGTCCTCGGTCCCAACATCCTGTTCTTCCCACCCCAGACGGCTGCGTGCTCGCCAGGGGATATCGCCAGGATTTCCCCCGATAACTGGCCTGTCCTCCTCCTCCCCTCTGAGCTGATGGGTTGTTCCAGGGTGAGCTCCTCTCCCCATCAACACGCACACAAGATGGAGAAGAAGCTGGTGGTGTCTCCCCAGCAGCTGTATGCTGTGTCCCCATCACGCACGAGATGCTGTTGCGCGCCAGCGACACCCAGGGCATCTGCCCATTGGCTCTGTCTTCCCCGTGGCTCTGCTGGGCACCTCTGCCCTCGAATCTGGACCCTCCTTGCTGAAGTCCATGTGAACGTGAAGATTGCTGCCTCTAAGAGGTGTAATCTCCACCCTCCCTGGAGCAAATGGAGGCAAGATGCATACACACTGGTCGTGATTCTCACCTTCACCCTCCATCTCCACTTGCCCTGCAGTATGACCCTGCATTGCACACTCGCCTCGGCCCCTGCAATGGACCATCCTTTCCCCAAAGCTGTTTTGCAGAGGAGGCCCACCGCGTGCTTCTGCATGCATAGTTAGATTGTCCCCGGAGCAGGCAGGCGTGCTCCTCTATCTTGCCGACACGTGGGCTCGCTGATGAGAAGCCTATGCAGATGTTCAGTGATTCAGCCAGGCTGAATGCCCTCATGTCCAGGGTCCAGTGGCTTGAGCTAATATCTCATGAATGCTGCTTTTCTCTGTCGCCGTGGGAGGTGGCAGGGCTTGGTAAATAACCTTTCATTATGAAACGAAACCTGTGATTCTTTCCATAGAGCACTGGGGTGGCTTGTCATTCTGCCGTTGCCCTTGGCCTGGGGACAGCGCCTCGCTGCCATCTGAGCTCCATACACCAGAGATTCCCCCTCCTGTTTCTAGGATGCCAGCCCTACCCTGCTGTGACCAGCATGTGTGGCATCAGACCGTGCGTCACGAGCAGAGAGAAGGAGATGCTTGGACCCTTGGGCAGGGCACCGACCAAGTCAGCCAGAGGATCGGGGCCTGTGCACGCCAAGCTAGTTCTGCGTACGGATGTAGAATACACCTGTGCTTTAAGTGTGGTCCAGTGGACGGTTGTGTTTTTCTACTCGGTGCACCTGGGGCATACTTTTCAGTGCATCAGATGTTTAAGCAACAGTGCAAAAGGAGAAGAGGAAGAGAAAAGCTGGGCTTGTGTGTAAGAAGGTAGACTGGAGACTTGGGAATGGGAATTTGGTTCCTGGCTCTGCCAGAGAGTTCATCAGTTCTTTTGGCCTGTGACTTATAGTCTGATTTCTCCATGCACTTAAGTCTGTGTTTGGATCAAAACCTGCTTTGCCTAATCTCAGACAAAGCTTCCTAATTGTCAGAACAGCAGGACAGTGGAAAGAGCTGCCCAGGGAAAGTGTGGCCTCTGCTTCATCGGAGGTTTGCATGCAGAGGCTGGATAAGCCTCTCCGTGGAATGGCTTGGGAGTAGCAAGACCTGTGTCTGTGCTGAAAGTGGGACAAGATGAACCCAAAGACCCTTTCCAACTTCGTTCTCAGGAGCTTGACATTAAATGTACATTCCTATGCCTTGCTGTGTCAGCATGACCGGCTGAATTCAGGCTTTGATTTCTCATCTCCAGAATAGGGAGAATGCTTTTTGTCCTGGCTATGCAGGTTGCAAACAAGACTAGGACTGATGTCTGCACCTGTAATGGCCTGGGGTCTCCTGGTGCTACAGAAATGCAAATAATACTCAGTAAAGTCTCTGTCCTTAGCAAATCTGCCTTCCAACTGAGCCATCTTTTGCTCCAGGACTGTGTGCATGTGCAACGTAAGAGAAAAGTGACTCTTTCTTTCTGTTGCAATGCAGGGATGAAGGGAATCTGCCTGAATTTTTGGAAAACTTTAAATGGAGACCCTGGAAGGTTTCAAGCCAGAAAGGGAGCGTGGTGGGAAGCTCAGAACATGTGAAAGCAGCAGTTACAATGAGCCGCTTTACAGCCTTCATTATAGCAGGGGCTGTTGCTGGACTGCTATAAAAGAAAGTTTCCACTGAACGCTTCACTTCCTGTGGTCTATGGAAACTACATGAGGGTAGGAGGAACCTGCTTTATATCCCTGTGATTGAGGCTGTGGGTCTCTTGGAAGGCAGATTTCTCTAGGTTTGGGTTAGCTGTAATAGCACGCACGGGAGGAAGGGTTTGTGTCGGGGGTCCAAGCCTTCTACGGTCTCTAAGCAAACCCCCTGAGACATCGCGCCTCGGGCCTTTCCTTCTTCCCTGTGCTGGAGCTGTGCGGTTCTCCCTCCTAGACCAAGTCCTAGGCTGAAGCATCATCCGAGGTATCAACCAGGCCTGCCCAGCAGGTCCGATTTGAATTTGGACTTGTGCTCTTCTTTCTTGTGGCAGCCTGTGACCAGGGTTATTCAGTCATCTGAGATCTTCTTTCTTGTGGCAGCCTGTGACCAGGGGTGTTCAGTCATCTGAAAGCCTTCTTAAAGTACTGTCCTGTTTTCTGCAAGAGGAGCAAAGATTAGCCTACAGGCTTATCATAGATAAAAGCTTATCATCCCCATATAACCTAAATGTCCAACCGCCTTCAGAAACCCCAGGAGGGTCCTTTTGTCTCAGCCGGGCTCATGCAGTCGGCTGCTCCCCACCTTTTTGAACCCCTGCTATGATTCATTTTCTTCAACCTGCCATTGTCTCTTAACAGCCCTCTAGTGTTTGTGGAGAAGTGACTTATCCTCAGCCATTCTTTCCTTTTCTTTTCCGAAGGGTTTTTTATTCAACTAAAGCAGTATTTTGGGTGGCCAGTGTCCCTGTAATTGGCTCAACATACAGTATTCCTCGGCTCTTGCGGAGCAGTTCCAAATCCACCCTTTTAGCGAGAGTTTCCCAACACGGGAAATTTGTATAGAATTGGTCGAATTACTCATGATGAAGAACAGGCTAGTTTCTTCACATATTGCCATTTTCTGCCGGTATGAAATGCATGTAAAATGTCAGTTTTCTGCGTTATCTTCTACCCACTTTGCATCAATATCCATTTCTCCACGAGGGACAGGGTTAGGGACCCTTAACCCTAACCCTGACACTCCTTGTTCATGTACTTACTTTTCAGTCCATTCCCCTGTCCTGACTTTTGCAAACAGGTTCTTTATCCATCAAGGTTCATCAAACTGCCAACAATTTTCTGCCTATCTGTTGTTTGCACAGTTTTGCACACCGTGAATGCCTGAAGCAGGGGTTGCTGAGATGCTGTGATATCTGTGGTGGTATACTCTGGTGTCTGTACCACAATACTGCAGTGGGATTGCTGTTCCCTAACTGGATGGCTGAAACTTTCTAAACTTGCAGATGCCATGTGATAGTTGCCAGTAGCTCGGGTGCGTGTTCCTGGCTTGGATGTTCACTTGTGTGACCACATGCAAAGCTTGAGGTAAGGCGCAAGCTTTCACAAATATACATGGAGTTATATCTAGGCCACTACTGGTTTACAGCCAAGCAAACCCAGCAAGGTTTTTAATATCTTCAAAACCATCAGCTCCCCTTGTGGGTCCCAGAACCTGTGGTGCGCAGATATACGGTCCATGAGCCCCATCAGAAACACTGTTGCTTGGCTGTGAGAGCTATTATTGAGAAAATAAAGGAGCTGCTTTTTTACCTGCTGACCACACATGCAAGGGTCCAACTTGGCTGTCCAAAACTGTTCACTTGAGCTTTTGCGTGTTTTTGACAGGTGAGTAAAATATCACCAGCTAACTTTTTTCTTTCCTACAGTTGGAGTGATTGAGTAGAATTGGAGCCTAATTCTGTAGTCCTGCAAGTCGCTTCGACCAGGGCAGCTTTGCTGCGAGATGCTCTCCCTTGGGGCTGGTCGTTGGTTGTGTTGAATTTCTGATGCCAGGCCAGTGACACGGGACCCAAAGGAATGCTTTCCTTCCATTTTGGAGAAGGATGATGAGATTGTGCGTCAAGGAAAAAGCAGGATGACTAGAGGGAATGGGGATTATGGATGTTTAGAAATGGGAGCAAAGAGTTTAATTCTGAGGATTGGGATATGCTCATCCTAGACCTCCAAAAGAACCGTGTGGGACGGTCCTTTTTAATAAAAACTGCTTGCTTGCAAGTTGGAGGTAATATAAAATGACTGGAGCACAGCAATCTTAATACCCATATTTAAGAAAGGGTCAGAAGTGATCCTGGCAACTCCTTAATAGCATGCAAGGCTTTAGAACACATTTTTGAAGGCAAGAGTAAATGTACTAGAGGTCACTGGAAAATGGGACAAAGCACAAGGTTTATCAGTGTTTGATGATAGCTGCCTTGTTAAAGGAAAAAAGAGATCTTGTCCAGTAAGGCATAGGATATCGTGCCACATGGAGAAGCTGCTGGTTAAAATGGGATTAGTAGAAAATTGTGGAATAAGTAAAGAGGAAACGGATTGAGTTGGAAAGAGACCTGTTGGCTTGACGTGGGTATTAGTAGAGTTGCTCAAGGATCAGTCTCAGGACTGGCTTTATTTTTCATTGTGTTTTTGACAGAGTAGGTAACTTGCTGACAACCCTAAGTTGGGAGGCATCCTCAGTACAGAGAGGATCAGACTGTTTTCCAGGAATAGATGGAGGACGCTGAGGACGGGAGTAATAGAAAAGGAATGAAATGCAATCGGGTGACATGCAAGCTCAGGCATTCGAGGACAAACAACAACAATAATTTCTGCTGGAAGCTGGGAGCTCATCAGCTGGGAAGGCAGAGGTGCAGAAAGGTCTTGGAGGATTAGTCAATCGGCTGAGTCACCGACATGATGTGGTTGGGGAAAAAAGCAAATGGGATCCCAGGATGTATCCCATGAGGTATTTCCATGAGAGAAGGGCACAAGGCACAGGCAGGCCCTTGTCTGGGATGTTGTGTACACTTCTGGTCCCTTGCATTCAAGGACGATGACTTCCTAACTGGATCCAGTGCAGAGAAGGGCCACTAGACTGATCGAGGGGATGGAGAGCCTCTCTGCCAACGGAGGCTGAAAGACCTTGGCTTATTTAGCCTAGCACGTCCTCCATGAGTGTGAATGCCAGTGGGGGGAAGAATTACTTAAGCTGAAGGACAGCGTCAGCCAAAGAGTAAATGGAAAGAAAACACCAAGAAATTTAAATTGGAAATAGTTTCTAACTGTGAGACTGGGGAGGTCTTGGAGGAGCCTTAAAGGAAAAAGTCTAATTAGGTTTTTTAAGATGAGCTTGACCAGCTTATATAAAGGGTTTGTGAAGCGGTGCCTGTAATCGCAGAAGACTTGACCCGGGAGATTCCTTGTTACTCGAATGGCTGCACAAGGAACTCCCTGAGGAATGGATAACCCTGTGGAAATAAACTCGAGAGGATTTTCTTCTAATACTGAATTTCTTCTAATTTCTTCTAACCAGCCAAATCTGTCTCTGCCACTTCCTGGTTGATCCAACTTCAGGATCTGAGGACTTTATCACTTAGCACTGTAGCTTAGAGAGAGAATTTTTTTTGCCAAAAAAATGCAGATATGGGTTGTCAAAACCAGCTGGCAGATGCATGTCCAAGTTGCTGAATTGTTTCGGTCCAAGAAAATGAAACGCAATACAATCCAAATCCTTTCAACACATCTCTTAAAAGGAAACGTTTCAGCTTATCAACTCAGTGTCTTATTGTAAAATGTACTTAAAGTTGTGTGTGTTAAACTTTAGAAACACCTTGGAAGTGGCCAAAATTTCAGTTTGGAATGAAAATGTTGACTTCCTAGTACATCGGGCAAACCAAAAATCCATTATTAGCACACGTCTACTTTACACATATTAAATTCCTCTTGTGTTTAAATTACCATGAGACATCAACAGCTGTTATGTGTTGTGCACACGTAACTCGTCCTGTGCGTTCGTGTAACTTGCTTCCCAGCGTGCATTCGCAGGAGAATGTCTTCTCTGGCAGGTCTCGGGGTTAAAAGCATTCGCAGGAGAATGTCTTCTCTGGCAGGTTTGGGGGTTAAACCCTGCCAGTCAGAACTAGCACTTCATCTGCCATGCCAAAATGTTACCAGATCCTCTCTCTCAAAGAGCTGTATAAGCGCTCTAGTTTCCCCCAAGCCAGCCTCCATCTATCACAGGAGAGTTTCTTTCCATATATTGCTCATGCCTGGTGGGAGCCGGTGTGCCAGTGCCAAGGTGCAGTGGCCCCCTTTGCAGCTGATCCAGCAGGTTTGCAAGCAACTGCAGCAGAGGTGAGCCAACCTGCCAGGGCTTGGGATGGGCACATCTCCTGTGTTGGGTCCCCCTCGGCAGGAGGCTCTCCGGGGTGATTCAAGCACTTCACTCTTGCCTTGCGTTCCACAGGTTGCCACGACAAGGCAGTGCTGCTCTATGAGTACGTGGGGAAGAGGATAGTGGACTTGCAACACACGGAGGTCCCTGATGCTTACCGAGGAAGAGGAATAGCCAAACACCTGGCCAAGGTACAGCTCAGCCAGTGTCTGGAGATGCTTCCTTAACCCGCAGACTAAGTAGCGGTAAGAGGAACTGACTGGAGCGGGGCTCTACTGCACTCCCGTGATGTGTGCGCGCAGTCCCTGCTTCAGAGAGCTCGGGTGAGACGAGGTGGACAGAGGATGGGGAAGAAATAGGAGCACAGAAAGGTGAAGTGAATTACCAAAGGCCAGGGAGCAGGTCAGTGGCGGAGATAGGAACAGAATCCATGTCTCCCCCAGCCTAACCCAGTGGCCTACCCCCTGTACGAGTCGGCCTCTCTAAAAACCAGCTAAGATATAGCTGAGGGCAGGAGGGAGGCTTCTGCAGATGGCTTAGAAATGACAAAAATGACCCAGATTGACCCCCAGACTGCAACAAAGCTTAGTTTTGAGGGAAAAGGGGGGGAAAATATCTTTTTTTCCCCCAAATCTGGAAATCCTTCCTCACAAAAACCCACTCATCTTAGACATTTGATGCCAAGTGGGGCTCCTTCCAAGCACGTTGCAAGAGCTGACATTCCTGAGCTGCACACCAGCCTGGAAGGTAACTGCGAGTGTTGCTGTGCCCCCCACAAGTCTTGTGCACGAAGCCCTCTCCCAGTGTC